TGTATAATAAAGTGTATTAAAATTTAGCGGCCTGAATGTCCGAGAAATCCAAAAGAAAATATGTGTCCTCCGACAGGAATCGAACTTCGTATCCTACACGGAACTGTCATATAGTCTGACGTGCTACACCTCTTAGCTACAAAGGAAGCCTCTGCTTAGTAAAGTTATATACAGTCCTGTGAATATTGTTTATACTGTTTATTAAAAACAGATCAGTTAGTTAAATATTTGTATCTGTAACAATAACGTACAAACAAAAAAAAATTATTTAAACTATTGTCGAACTTAGTCCATTTCATAATATATGACATCATTTTTTTTTTACTTTAAGGTAAGCTTTGACCAGATATGATCGGGCGAAGGAAATTATGTGAAGTTTGTAATATAAAAACAGTAATTTAACCATGTTAACCAGATACTTTCTCTAGCTAAATGGTGAAATACGTCAGGCTATATAATGATTCCGTGTAGGCTGCAGGTTCGATTCCTGTCGGAGGACATATTAATGTTGTTAATACTCTTAAATATATGTGTATGTACGCATGTGTGTGTATTCCTGCTTAGCCCGACTCATAAATCCATTTTCTTTTCGCAAACTTCACTTTAAACAGTTGCAAAAGAAGAACAATGTCTTTGTCCCCACCAGGAAATGTCATAATATTTCTAATCACTAGTTTGTGTGGCAGTTGAGCTAACACAAAAGCGGGAAAACGTTGAATATTGACAGTATGACGGGGTAAAAACGATATTCGATTTCTTCTTTTTTTTCTCCCTGCTTTTTGGCTCTCAATCTGAAAATGTATGCTTCTTTGATTGATTCAGAATCTAAGATTCTTAAAACTTCTGGCTCACAAAACCGGGGTTCTTTCCATCATCACTGTACCTCATGCCACTTCGCCGACACCATCAAATAGCAGCTAGATACTTATGAATGCCCATATAGAATATTAAAGCACTGGGGCACCTCGAGGCGGTGTAATGGTTAACAAGCTGGTCTCGCTGGAACATTTACGACTGTTCGATCCTCACTGGGTGCGCCATACTTTCCCCCTTCTGCCCCATCTAAGCTATGCTTGAAACATCACTAGAATATTACAGCATTGACTTAGAGACTTCGTAGTAAAAATTGTGAATGAAAACGAATACAGAGAGTAATTATATATTTTATCAAGCCGGGTACCCCAAGGCGGTGTAACGGTTAGCAAGCTTGTCTCCTTAGAATAATTACAATTGTAATAGTGAGTTCGATCCTCATTGGGTGCTTCATATTTTCGGCCTTGTGTCACGTCTAAGATACGCTTGGAAAATCAATATGGGGCACCCCAAGACGGTGTAATGGATAGCAAGCTTGTCTCGCTAGAACAATTACGACTAAATAGTGAGTTCGATCCTCACTGGGTGCCTCATACTTTCGGCCTTGTGCCACATCTAAGCTACGCTTGGAAAAACAATATATTTTTTATCCAAGTCTATGTTCCCTGAGAACTGTCTTTACTCGTCAACGAAATTGGAGTAACTTCGCAGAGTTAAACACTATAGCGATTTGGTAAGCGTAGCTTAGATGTGGCACAAGGCAGAAAGTTTGGCGCACCCAGTGCGGATCGAACTTACTACTCGTAACTGATCTCGCGAGACAAGCCTGCTAACGATTATGTAATGTCGAAGTACCATGATTTTCTAAACGTAGCTTGTACGTGTTACACGGCCGAAAAATGGACACAACGTCGAAGTACACATGATTCTCTAGAGTGCTTATAACTATTTACTATGCGTTACTTCTATGTAGCACAAGGTCGAAAGCATTGCGTCCCTAGTGAGGATCGAACTCGATACTCACTCGTGACTGATCTAGCGAGCCATGCATGTTAAACATTACACCATGCCGAAGTGTTCCATTATATGCAATACGGAGTTTTTTCCTTTTACAAAACTTTACAAATATTTTCACAGTGAGAAAATACAACTCACCAGTTTAAATGTTGCCGTTCGACACTGCTTAAAAGAAAAAGTTGGGAAGGAAGCCGCCGACAATTCCGGAAAGACCTATAGCTGTTAGTGGACTTGAGAAAACCTATTTTCTTGAAAAATTGTTTTAACAGAAAAAAAATTTATTAATTTCAACCAAAAGTAGGTTAGGCTGCTAGGCTAAAAAATACCGAAAGTTTCCATATAAGGAAACATCTAATATTACCAATACCATTGTTTGGCTGCGAGGAAAGATTAACAAGTATGTTAAGATTGATTCGTTTTTACGGCTTATCAAAACTTTGCAGGTTATTTAAAGCCAGAAAGATAGTTTTAGATTCTAAATTAAAAAAAAAATATTAATAATGATTTAGTAATAGAAGTTTTTCTAATTAACCCATAGCTGGGGGAGAAGTGGTGGATTCATTCTTAACCCAAAGGTATTTGCGCGTAAGTGAATTTAACGAACCCAAGAGGAAACTGAACTCGGCTCTTCGATTAACAATTCAGAGCCATTATCCATTACGCAACCACGCTTACAGCACCTGGTATTCCGAAGCAGTCACCCATCTCGGTACTGACCAGGCTCGACGTTGCTTAACTTCGGTGATCGTACGGAAACCGCTGGTTCAATATAACGTGCTCGTAAGAATTCGCATCACGATGAGGTGATCGTTGTCGACAGGGAGAACTAATGTGGCCATTGGTTTATCATCCGGGGACTATTGTGTGGTGATGTTGTCCCTTGTGAATAAACACAGCGGACGGTGCTACTTATCAATTAATTTGGTGGTGTGTTTCAAAGTGTCACTAGCAATTCATCTTTTCATTTGAACTTATTCCTTTTGGGGAAAAAATCTGTTGGATGCCGACGTTTTTAATGATGTTTTTAGTTGTGGATCATTTGATGTTTCGGGTCATGCAACATCATCTCTTTTTTCTTGACTTGTGTGCCAGCCGTCAGCTGGAACTCTTCTCATAATGGAACACTATCTTAGATATCACTGTTAAAGAAAGAAATGGTTAAACTTTATAGTCAAATCTAACGCTATCTCTCTATCCCTCTATCTCTCTATATCTCTATCTTTATATCTCGATCTCTCTATCTCCCTATCTCTCTCCATCTCTATTTCTATCTCTATCTCTCTATCTCTCTCTATCCCTATCTCTAACTATACCTATCTCAATATCTCTATCTCTATATCTCTATCCCTCTCTATATATCTATATCTATCACTATCTCTCTCTCTATATATATATGTCTATATATCTCGCTCTCTCTCTATATATATATATATCAATATATCTCACTCTCTCTCTCTATATATATATATCAAAATCTCTCTCTCTCTCTCTCTAAATATATATATATATATATATCGCTCTCTCTATATATATATCTATATATCTCGCTCTCTCTGTGTCTCTCTCTAAATATATATATATCGCTCTCTCTATATATATATTTCTCTCTCTCTCTCTCTATATATATATATATATATATATATATATATATTTATTTATATATATCTATATCTCTCTCTCTCTGTCACTCTCTCTCTCTCTCTATATATATATATATATATATATATATATCTGTATATATCTCTATATCTCTCTATCTATCTATCTCCTTATATCTGTATCTCTCTCTCTCTCTCTTTTATATATATATATATATATATATATATATATATATATATATATATATAATCAGCTGGCTTCTACACTATCCTATAATAAGATGACGCAGTGACCGTTTTCGTAGATAATACAAGATGTCCCGTAATTAACGATTTCAATGAATTCGAGCAATTTTTTTTTCAAACCTGTCACAATTTTATACTCGTAACTTAAATATGATACAGAACAACATGTTCAACATGTGGTCCGTGAATATCTTTGGAAATTTCAAATCTATCTTTAGCGTTGCGAGCCACATTTTGAAGCATTTCAAGTGTTATCGCCCAAATTGTTTACTAAATATGGTCATTAGGTTCAGCCAAACTATTGATCTTTTGGCGATAAACCTTTGTTTTTATGAAACCCCATGCAAAGAAATCCAGGTTGGAGGGTCAACAAAGATACATTGTTGCGTATTTATTATTAATAGGCTTCTGAAAGGGAAAGCAAATAAAATTAGAAAGAAATAGAAAATTTATAAAGTTATAAACAAAATTAGAAATTTATACACTTCTAACACATATTAAAAACTACTTTAAAAGCTGCCCGATCGGGCGGCATTTAAGCTAGCTCTTACAGGGGAAGGGCTCTTGATTGGGTCTTCGGCTTTTTCAGGAGTTTTAGTCCTCAGTATGGGTAACACTCCTGACTGCCGTTTGATTTGAGGTTTCATTTGCACAGGACTTTGTTTTCCTCGCAGTTTTTTTTTTTAATTTTTTTTCTTGCAATCTGTCCCCTGTTGACGGAGAGCTTTTTGTGAGGCATACTGCTGCAAATAGTCGAAACTGGGGGCAAAACACGTAAAAGTAGTTTTTAATATCATCAATACATATTTGAAGGAAAAATACCAGCAATACATATTTGAAGGAAAAATACCAGCAATACATTTTAGAAGGAAAAATACCAGCAATACATATTTGAAGGAAAAATACCAGCAATATATATTTGAAGGAAAAATACCAGCAATACATATTTGAAGGAAAAATATCAGCAATACATATTTGAAGGAAAAATACCAGCAATACATATTTGACGGAAAAATATCAGCAATACACATTTGAAGGAAAAATACCAGCAATACATTTTAGAAGGAAAAATACCAGCAATACATATTTGAACGAAAAATACCAGCAATACATTTTAGAAGGAAAAATACCAGCAATACATATTTGAAGAAAAAATATCAGCAATATATATTTGAAGGAAAAATACCAACAATACACATTTGAAGGAAAAGAAAATTACCACCAATATATATTTAGGAAAAATATTAACAGCAATAAAAATTTTGTCGGCATTAAATAATCCATTGAAGTTGATATGCCGTAAAAGAAAGCAAACCAACCCTAACCTTTCAAAAGTTCAATGATAATGTTTTTGTCGCTACTTAATTGAAAGACAATTTGATGTACGTAGGTCCTTGCTTTCCATACAAAGAATTATTTTTGTTTTATGGGTGACTTTCGCTGGATTTTGCTATTTCGATTATTACCAAATTTATTACCAAGTTATAAAAATTGTTATTGTACAAAAAACTTCGTCGCAAAAAATTACGTAAAGAATTGACGAAAACAATCGCAGTAATGAAAACCTGGGAATCCAGTATGTCAGATTTGCGGGACTGGATCCATCTCGGAATGTTTGTAATTGGTTCACGGAGTCGGCTTGATTCCAAAATGGTATTATATGTTGGGCTACGGCCTCTAGGAGTAATGTTGAAAAGGTGTGACACACTGACATTTGCATTTATTTATATAGGTGACGAACAAAATAAAAGTAATGTTACCTTTACTTAAATTGCTAGATTTAACGGAAATAGATTGTTAATCCTGGCGCATTCTGTATAGTCACATTTTCGTCCTAAACTTTTGTTAAACTAATCCATCTAAACAAAATAACTATGAACTCAATAAAATTTTAAACCAAAACGGTTGAATTTATGTAAAAAAATATACTTAAAAATGTACGACAGCCTGTTACAAATACATGGATGATGTTTATAATGCCTATATTTTTTTTTGTTTATTCATCAATTATTTAAAAAAGAACATTATTTATTCAATGTTCGTTAATCGAAATGCATCTTTTCATAACTGTCACACGTTCGTCGTCATCAATATTCACAATTTAAGAAAAGTTTAGATTCCATCATAGATTGACTTCGTTTAAATAATTACTAAAACATTATCGATCTCATAAATTATTAAGCCTTGTCTAAAACGTACACACACATACACACGCCGGACAGAATATTTTATTTATTCAGTTACTCGAATGCGCAAGCCGGTAGAATCTCAATCTATCTCTATCTCTGTCTCTCTCTCTCTCTCTTTGTCTATCTCTCTCTCTGTCTACCTCTCTCTGTGTGTATCTCTCTATATATATCTCTCTGTCTGCCTCTCTCTCTATCTCTCTGTCTATATCTCTCTGTCACATTTCGTCTTCATCATTTAAGAGAAGTTTAGATTCCATCAGTGATTGACTTCGTTTAAATCATTACTAAAACATTATCGATCTCATAAATTATTAAGCCTTGTCTAAAATGTACACACATAGACACACACACATACACACGCCGGACAGAATATTTTATTTATTTACTCCAATGCTCAAGCCGGTAGAATCTCTTTATCTCTCTATCTCTCTATCTATCTCTTTCTCCCTATCTCTCTATCTCCCTATATGTGTGTGTATGCATGCACGTATGAGTGAGTGTGTGCGGGCATGTTTTCGTACCGCGTGTTTCGTCATAGAGTGCTTCATTATATATATATATATATATATATATATATATATATATATATATATAATGAAATGGATTAAGTCCAACTATTAATTAATATATTTTCTGTTCAAAAGTTATTTGTATAGATAAAATATATTTAAGTTGTCTGACAGGAATCGAATCTGTTGTCACTGTTTACGTTAAGATACGTTTCGTGAGAAGAAATGATCGATCGACAAAAATCGTCGAAGATTGTGTGTTTATAAACATTAATTCGGGCTTTGCTAACCAGACGCTTCTCTGTAGCTGAATGGTTTGTGCGCGTCAGATCAAATGACTGTTTCCGTATAGGAACACAGGTTCGATTCCTGTTGGAGAACTCATATCTTCTACGAAATTTCTCGAACATTCAGGTCGGTAAATGTAATTAATATGGTGTCAATGAAAGTCAGTTGAGAAGACACTTCCAGAAGGATGCCATAGGAGTAAAGATAAGACGACATCTCTGTCTGCTCGGTTGCAATTGCCGGCAAACTGTAATCGTTTTTGTTTGAGCTTAAGAAAGATTTCTCTCAATTCAAAATGTGTTAAACGTTGCATAGGATCCTCAACTGATGTTCTGGATTTTTCGAAGTAGATTTGTATATGTTCCATCCACTCGTCTTTCAAGACGAACAGATAATGTCCAAGTTTCTGATCCATACAGTAGGACTGGTTCAATCAACGTTCGAAAGGTTTGAACTTTTAAGGAGGATAGAGGGTTTGGCGCCAAATCTTGTGAAGTTTCTTACACGCATTTCACGCGACAGCTTTGCGGATGTTGAAGTCTTTTTGGGAATCTATTAGGTGAGATTCAAGATATTTGAAGTCCTCAACTCTTTTGATGGAGGTATTATTGAATGACTTTAACTCAGATGGTTCCGGTGAGGTTGTGATATATTTTGTCTTACGTTGCTATAGAGACCTACCTGGTTCGCTGCTTGCTCGTGTGATTGCAGCAAAGATTCTGCGTTCTTGATGCATTGTGCTATCCATTTAATTGTTGCAACTGTTGGAACTCTTCTAGTGGTGTGCCTTCTGTTGGTAGAGTCCATTGTTTGTGGCTCCAATAAATGTAAATATGGTGAGGTGGAATTGAAAAAGGTTATCTTCCAGCGTATCTCTATCTCAATCAAGAGTTGTATCTGCATTTTTCGTTCAAAAAAATAAGGTCCAAAAGATTGATC